CATGCTACATCTGCTGCTGTGAGAGAAAAGAGAAAAGAATTCCTGGGTCTTGTGAAATGAGTGGAAGACACTGATCCAGTTATTCCCAGTTATGGCAAGATTGTATACAAATAAATTTCTAAACTTGAAATTAACTTAGCAAACCCAGACTGAACCTCCATATGTCGTTTTTTTCCACTACTGAGCAAGCATTTTTTGGTACTGACATTACTTTTCCCAGTCCTCTAAAAGGACCTGTTACTTTTCCTCAAGTTACTCCCCATACAATAGTTATGTTCTAATTATTCCTGATGCATAGCATGAACAACCCCAACAAGCTCAACATATTTGAGGATTCTTTCGTCCTTTCTCAGGTTTGTGGGTATTAGGGAATGAAGGTGGTCTAGTTGACTTCCACTCAGAGGTATGTTACTACTTGGAACAACTACCTCTTGGTCCTCTTCTGTAACAGAACTGTCATCTTCATCTACTCCGTACCAAACTAATTCTTCCTCTGTTAAAATAACATCTAAAGGCGAGTTCCTGTCTGTTGCAGTTCTCAGAATGCCCTCGGTCCAAAGCTGGAGAGGAGATGAACCACCTTCTGTGCTAAGACCATGGTAATTCCATTGTCTGGTAAATTCTTCCAGAGATTTGTTAATTTCCTGCAAATACACAAGATGAAGTGATAACAAATGAACTTCATTAACAGGGTCTAATAGGCCAGAAGTCTCCATCATGTTGAACTCGTCGATATAACTTTTGAGGACACCACTGGTTACATCCCTATGAAGCCGTTCAACTCTTTGATTGTGCACAGAACTTCCGGTTATCATGCTTCCTCTGTTGACTCCCCGGCACTCCAACATCATTCGGGCCACGCCCATGTTTTCAAGACCATGGTCACTTCTAACTCTTGAAGGTATGCCATAAGATTGGCAGGCATTCTGAAACAGTTCAAGTACGGTATCTGATTTGTTATTGTCTGCACAGTACACATATGGTATCAACCTGGAATATCCATCAATAGCCGTGTGTACCACAAATCGCCAGCGTATCATCTTGTGATTTCCGTCGATGTGCCAGAGCGCATTTGGACATTGTACATTGTACTTTCGTCTACATATGGTTCCTCTCCACCGAAGTGCTGTTCCAACTGGATCCAGCTCGCGCATCATTTCTCTGACTTTCCATCGTTGCACTCGTATTCCCCTGCTATGTAATGCACCTAACATTCGGGTTTGACCAATTCCAGGAGTGACCGTCATTATTTCTTGCATGATTTCCCTTAGTGCGCCATTTCCAGCAGACGACCAGTTCATCTCTTCCTCGCCATCGATTTGAAACTCTTGCCGCCTTCTTGTTAGGGTTTTTGTGGAGATTCCGAGAAGTTCCGCTATTCTGACCCAAGGAAAGTGCAACTCGCGGAGAAACTGTATTTGCCTTTTGGAAACCTCCAGTTTCGGTTGACCTCTCATACCTGTGTACTCCCTCTTGCATTGGTGGGCTGGCACATTTACTGTGTCTTCACTTAAATAATCTGCCATATTCTCAAAATAGACTCGCAGTCTTGTCAAGTGTGTGGACAGCTCATCCATGTTGCTATGAAAATTTGCCATTTTTAAATCACGATCCGAACTGATGAGTTCGGAAGCGCTCTCTTTCAAAATAAAAACAGTTTCCCCAGCCTCTGAAAGCCTCTCGTGTAACATTTCTATTCTGTCTATGTCCCCAGCAGATGAAAATATATAAATGCATTGTTCTGCCTCGGCAAGTAGTGCTTTTGTCCGTTCAAAAAATGATATGAGTCGATTCTCTGACCCAGCAATGCCACCTAGAGCCGCCATTTTGGTTCCGTCACTGGCCGCGAGAGACCTGGTTACAAAATCAGCATATAAAGCGCGTGGTGCATCATACCATACTGCATACGCATGGAAGTTTAGAATGCTCAATATAAGTGTATATGGGCATGATTATATGACAAAGACCTGAAAGAATGTAAAGTAAGTTAAGCATATTTATTTAGAATTTCGCATGGTTATATGACAATGACCATACAGAATATGAAGTAATTTAAGCATATTTATTTAGAATTTGGCATGGTTATATGACAGTGACCATACAGAATATAAAGTAAGTTAAGCATATTTATTTAGAATTTGGCATGGTTATATGACAATGACC